GTTAAATATTTTACAATTGAGATTTAAAACTCAGGAATTCGTGTTATTTACATAGTCGAGCGAGCTTGTTAAATATTTTATAATTGAGATTCAAAATTCAGAAATTCGTATTATGTACATAGTTAGCTAAATCTCTAGCTAAGTGAGGTGACTATTTAAGGCCCTGAATTTTAAAATTTTCATTTTAAACAGTTATACCAATAAAATTTTCGAGTCAATTTTTTTTCATATTTGATAATTAGACAAACTTATTTTGATAAATTCAATTACTGATGAAAATATCGACATATATTATTGATGATTAAGTCCGTAATTTAGCAAAATAACGTTGAAAAAATAATAATTCTAAGTTAACAATGAAGTTTTCTGTCATTGATCATTCTAAAAAAGTGTCTTGGAAAATATAGTTTACTGATAGAATCTTCTTCATAATAGTATTACCTTGAGCAGTAGTTGAATAATAATTGAAAACAATAATTTAAAATTACATACGAATTTTGAATTAGTAATTTTAGAAAAAGGAAAAATTTCAATAAATGTTAGTTAATAAATAAAGTAATCAAAATATAAATTTAAATATTGAAGATAAAATTCTAGAGAATTAAATAACTATAACAGTGTCAAATATAAACCAAATAGTTTGAGCCGCCTCCGACTTTGTATTTATTTTCTACGAATTCAAATTCACTTTTGATATATTTTAAATATTAATCGCACGCGGGTGTATACTAGACTTACCAAACAAGTGTGTATATATATATATATATATATATATATATATATATATATATACACACGGAAATAATCTCCTAATCACCCGTGATATGACACACAATTTAAATAGTGAATAAGTTAATGGTAGATCCCATGTATTTAATGATTCACCAATTAAATTGTGTGTCATGTCATCGGTGCTATATATATATATGTATGTATGAATGTCGATTCGAATCCCATTTATCATCAAACTTAGATTTGAATCCAAATAATTGAACGTAAAAACTGGAGTTGCTGGCAACTAGTCACAATTGATATATATTTCTTAAAGACTTTCCCTCAATAATTAAGATTTAAGAGAGTTGGAATTTAAGAGGATAAGACCGAAGTAGGTAAGCAAGAGAAGACAAGTGAAAATTAAGATATCCAAATCATCATTTAATTAATAAAAAAAAATCTTAATTCAAGTGGTTATTTAACAGATATTTAATTACGATTTCGCATCATTTTTCTAATTTAGTTAGCCAACCTTTGATAAGTAAAAAGAGAGGAAAAAAAGGGTCTATTTTCCTTTACTGTTCCAAAGTCAATGGAGACTAGGACACTTGTCTCCTTTCTCATGTACAATGTACATAATTTGAAGATGAATTAAACTACTTTCTTGAAAATAGATGACCAAATGGTTAACATCCTCTCACATACACGTGAATCCCACATAAATAAAAAAGTCCAAAATAAAAAGTGGGTCTCGCCATTGTGAGGTCCGCCATCCTCTCTGTCAATCATTTTTCGATCACTGAATCATGATTGTTTGAAGATACCCTTTATGGTTTTTTTTTTTTTTTTTAAACAAAAGATTCCATGTTCAAGAAGAAAAGACAAAGATTAACAATTTAATTAAATTAGTTATGCAAGCAAAGTTATGATTTCACAAGTTTGTGTTTTCATACTTGATGTTTAATTACGTGTTCATGCATCATGTTTTGCAAGTCAAATGGTTCCAATGTATGACTGACTATGCATGATTTAGACAATTTATATAAGGCCAATCACAGTGTATATAGTTTTTGTAGGGAAGGCTGCACAATAGCAATCTTGTGAAATAAATAAAAATCGCAATCATACAAATTATTATAACATTGAAAAAAGTCTACTAACCCTATTATCTTGAAATTTATTGGAAGTTTATAAGCTTAGATATATGAAATGCAAAATATAATTTCAAATTGGCACACTGTAAGATAAAATTCATAAACGATAGGAACTTATTGAGCTAATTATAGATAATTCTTTTTACTTATAGATAAAGTAAGGATATCAATCTCAAATCCACATCGAGATATTGATAGGGGTTACTCATTTGTCATTTGTCTCCTCCAAGCAATAGCAGCTGGATTATACTAAAAGGGACGGGATTAAAATTTTCGATTTCAAATGTCTTTTCTTGCTTTCATTTGGCCCCCATTAATTTTCATTCCATTACAGTTTGTATTTCTTTTTTTATTTTCAACCACACAATCATTCATAAAATAATATTATCCTTAAATTGAAAATTTTCCTTTTTTTTTTTCAACCACTCATTTTTTTTAAAGACTATTCCACCCAATTTCACTTCCAAAAATGGGGGCCAAACGGAGGCTAATTCAAATTCTACATGATTTATAGTTTTATAAAAAGTCAACAACGTGTTTCAAAACTTACTCTTTGGTTGAATCAAATTTCCTTTCATAACATGCTTACCAAACTTCAATTTGACCATAATCAACAACTAATATTATTGCACTTACTATAGGTCCGTTCGGTAGTCAAGTAGTAATTATGAGAATTGATTTTTTGATTGTTAGAGAAAAAAATGATCTCACATATAAGTGAAGAAGTAAAAAAAGACGATTGGAGCAATGAAATAACGATCAAAAAATTGCTACAAAATGTGGGCAATAATGTCAAACAAAATAGTAAATGTAAATAATCATTTTTGCATAAAGGAAAAGTAAGATATGTCCCAAAAAAATGTTGCCAAGGTATCAATGCAGAGGTAATATTTTTACACTACTAGATAGGAATTTACGATGCAATACATAATTTTATTTTCCTTTTTAAGTTAATCTAAAATTAGTGTTTTAAAAGGTGTAGTTAAGTCCCGCGAATGAGGGATGCTATACACACAGGGGGAAGGACAAGGTTAATAACAGGGGTTGAGGTGGATTCACCTCAGCACTTGATTTGAATTTCATCAATCTAGATCAAAGGTTGAGGTGAGTCCACCTCAACTTCTTGTTTTTTATCCCGTCAATAGCCTTGTGTGAATAGCATTAATGCCCGCGAATAGAGAAGACCTGGTAAAAGGTGGCCAACACTATTTTGACAGCCTGGTGCGAGCTTAGGCACCTAAAGCATCATCCTTTTATTATTTATATTTTTTATTCAATTTTTTTTTAAAAAATTTTTAGGGTTAAATAAAATATAATTATTAGTGTTCTTTAAAATAATATTAAAAATAAAAAAAATGTATAATTATGTTTAAGCTCGTAAGGCTTGATGGTTGACATTGTCACTCCCTTCTTTTAGATCATTTTTTAATATCATCTAATTTATCTTATCTAATATACAAATATGCATACATGGTCAAAACGGTTTTGCATTAAATTCATGCTACATTAAATAAATGCAACAAGAATACATGTCAAAATGCTCGTTAAATAAATGCAACAAGAATACAATATTAGGGATAATATATTTTAGTTAATTACAGATTTTTATATGGTGAATTAAATATTGTTATAAGATTTTGTCAAGATCATAGTCCATTCTAAAAAAACGTTTGGGAAAAACCATTTGTACGGAGGAGAGGTTCACAGAATTCCTCTAGAAGAGACACATGAGGTCGGCCTCACGTGGGACCCATGGGTGATAAAAAATTGCAAAAAATAAAAATAAAAAAAATGCCGACCTCTTGCCTTGTGTGTTGTTTGTAGGGCTTCCGTGAAGCCCCGTACTATACACGTAGCAAGGTTCAAAACTTTTATGTTATAGGAACTATAGCATAAGGATTAGGGCAGTATAAATTAATAAACACAAGCATTCATACGTTATTCTTGGCTCTTGCAGACTAATGTGATTCTCAAATAACAAAAGGGAATACATACTCCAAAATAAGGGTAAATAAACACCTTTAGTTAACCTAACATGGCGACTTGACTAATTACTTAAGTCTCGTAATTTTTATTTTTAGCGTCAAAAACATGTTTGGACTCTGAATATTATGGGTTATATGCACTATTTCGGTAACTCCTCTTTTTCTTCTGTTGCAAAATTAGTGATTCGGAACTGGCTTTTGATTGTCACTCAACCTCAAACCTTAAAAATTGACTCTGTTTATTGTAAATTTAAAATTGAGAATAACATATACAGAACCTTTAGATTATTCTTTCAGATCCCAACTTTACAAAATGAATCAATTAATCATACCTTTAGGCTTTAAGCTTGGTTCAGATATACACTAGAGTTGTGAAGGGCTGGTTGAGGCATTTTTACAATACAATGTTACAATAGGGAGCTGTAAAATAGTTGGCCTACTAGACTGTGGTGGCTGTGACAATACAAAAGAAGGCTCATTGATCTGTCAATCCAAGAAGCACCTGATCAAATAAATGAATATAGGTGCTACTTGGAATCATTCTCATCAGTCTTCATGATTTTTCAAGAATGATTACTCAACTATGTATTCTACTTTTTCCACATGCAATTTTACATGCTTGATGACTGTGTCTTTGATCTTGAAAACCGGGTTCTCCCTTAATTTACTCTAAAATGATCGAGAATCTGTAATTTAAATAAATATTCTTTAATTTGGTTCTCGTTACCATTGCTTCAGTTTTACTATTATTTTTGTGACCTAACCAATCAGAAAGTAGTAATAGTAAATATAAATGCGTGCTAGATACACAAATTTCTTCTGTCAAATACAAAATTGTTATATATCTAATCCATCTTGACTGAATGGCAGATTAATTAGTGTGAATTAGTTAAATTTCTAGTTTTACTTTAAAGAATTTGAAACATATCAACTCAGAGAGAGTTCAAATATTTTCTTGTGGGGATAGAAACTTCTATGTGCTACGTGTTCCACAAGAGCAGCCCAATCCTTTTGACATTTGAAAACTGATGAAAAGTACTAATCATTTCTTTACTGTTTACAAACCAAAGTCTCTCAATAAAGCCTAAAGCCAACACACCAAGTCAATATTTATATAAGATTATAAAGTTTCTCAAACGGCCAATATATATTGTTGTGCAACATATAATTCTAGAGAGAGAGAGAGAGATGGGGAGGGCTCCTTGCTGCGATAAAGCAAATGTCAAAAAGGGGCCATGGTCACCAGAAGAAGATGCTAAGCTTAAGGAGTTCATCGAGAAATATGGAACTGGTGGGAATTGGATTGCTCTTCCTCAAAAAGTTGGTAAGAAAAACCTAAAAAGCTTCAATTTCACGAGAATAATATACTTTTTGTCTTAAGTTTGATGGATTGCTGTCTTGAAAAAGGTCTAAAGAGATGTGGGAAGAGCTGCAGGTTGAGGTGGCTTAATTATCTCAGACCTAACATTAAACACGGGGAGTTTTCCGACGAAGAAGATAGAATAATCTGCACCCTTTATGCAAGCATTGGAAGCAGGTACACAATCTCTTTTCTATTTACATTTTCTGCTCTTTTCCCAGTTTTGCTCATGTCTTAGAAACTCAGACTGTATATATATCCAGATTTCTTTGAGTAATTACTAAAAGATTGCATAAATTATCATCTGGTTTATTGACAGGCGCTTTAATTCCAACTAAAAAAGGAAAGAGAAAAAATGAACAAAGGAGAATGCGGGGGGAACGTATTGTCTGTTGGAAATTTGAATGTTTTGTTATGAGATTCTACTATTTTTAGTGTGATTTCATGCATGCATGCCTTGTTTATGACCCTGAATTAATTCTATTTATTCACATATCTGTTGATGAAAAGTTCAAAAGTTTCATCTTGTGGAACATATTTGTGTGAACAATTTCTAACAAATGCAGGTGGTCAATCATAGCTGCACAATTACCAGGGAGGACTGATAATGATATCAAGAATTATTGGAACACCAAGCTCAAGAAGAAACTAATGGGAATGATTCAACCAAACCAAGGAAGCAACCCATCATTTTCAGCCACCCTTCACACCCCACTCCCACAATCTCAGGCACTACCAAGCCTATCGCAGTTATATAAAGATTTCAGCTCACTTTACACACCAATGGACAGATCTATCACAGGCCTTGAGTCCATTTCTTCAATCCCGCAAAATTTTCTTTACGGCAATAATAGCAATATTCCTTTAACTACCAATTATCAATATTCTTGTTATGAACAGAATCAAGAGCGTTTAATGGATTTGAAAAGTTATGCTGTGAAAGAAAACATGCTCATATTCGGAGGCGCTGAAGCAAGTTCTTCTTCTGATGGAAGCTGCAGTCAGACCAGCCATGGAAAAGTTGTTAAACAAGAAGAAATGGGCTTTGTTCAAGGACTTATGTCAACTAACAGATTTGAAGAATATCAGAAGTTCATTCTTGATTATGGAAATATTAATGGAGATAACAATGGAGGCCCATTCCTCGATCAAAAGCCAAATGGGATTTTAGGGAACAGCGAACTGCAGTATGACATTGAGGAAGTTAAGCAACTGATTAGCACTGGTAATGGTTTACTCAATGATGAAAACAAGACACAAGAGACGGGCATGTACCAGTACTACTGAATTGAATACTGACTATCATCAGAAAGATTTGAAGGGGTATGGTATGGTAGGGATTCAAAGAAAAAAAACTTTCAGATTCTGGGGTTTAGTGTTTGTGATGGAAATTTAATGAAAAAACTTATTTTTTCTTGACAGTACATGGTAAAGTTTTTCTTTCTGTGCATTTCATTTAGGAAAGTGATGATCTTTATGTCTTCTGTACCCACAGATCCCCTCGATATTTCAGTTCAGAAATTCACCATTCAAGAATCTGAAAAGACTACTGATCACACAGATCCCTGTTAGTCTCACACACACACAAACAAACAAAGTGTTCAATATTTTGCATTGACTTGGGGCGGCATTTACTATTCACGAGGGGTCTACCCCATTATAAGTGAAAAAGACCATTACAGCCCCTCTTCTTGTTTGAATTTCGATTGAGCCCTTGATAATTATATTATTTTCAAGAAGACCGCTAAGTATAAATATTAAAGACTTTCGACTGCTAAAGAATCTTTTACTAATTTGAATTATTCAGGCTCAATATGAAAAATAAAATAAACTACGTAGAAATTTTTCCTTGTGGGGCGGCTTAAATATTTTGAAAATGACAGGAAAAAAAACACAATATTGTTGTTATTATAAAACAAATTTAATAAGACAGCCAGTTGTTTAAATTATGCAGAAGAGGCATCAATTATAGTACGTGCATGTGTATCAAATGTAGTTAATTGTATGAAGAGGGACCATTCATTAATGTAAACGATTCGTGATTGGGACGATGATCACGGCTCAGGATTTATATAGTTTCATGAATTGATTGGTTAATGATTGACCAATGTTTTATGATTATGAATTTTTAGAGGGTCCCATTAGAGTTGACCCTTGTTTAGTTAGCATTATCATCTTTGAGGAAGCAAAATATTAATATTTGGAGCTAAAATTGAGCAAAACTGATTCCAGTTGGAGAAAAAACAAATTTGAAAACGATGGATTTCTTATTATTTTTACTCTCAATAGTGGCATACATGTTTATAAAACTGACATAGAAAGACGGGATGTCTATGATGTGTACGTTTCAGAATCTCATTTTCTCTTAAACCGAGAGTGAAAGCACCAAAAGAAGAATTGAGAATTTTTGTGATTTGGAGATTTGAGTGTTTTTTCTTGGAGCTCCATGGCTATGGAACAAAGGATCATTTTGGACTTACAAATCTAGTGACGATATCGATCGTGAACTTAAATACATTGACAAGGAGTAACCAATCTATTCTTGATTATGTATCTTGTGCAACACTCGACATGCTCATAAAATGCTTGGTCAGTATTTTATGAAAT